GATCTGTGTTCTATTGGCTGTTTTTAATCAGATGATTTTTCAACAAAAGACTGCTTTTAAGTTCTTTCCTGAACTCAGCTGGGCAAGCAGTCCTCTTCAGCTGAATGTATAACTGCAGGAGTGTCACACCTCGCTGGCAAGGAACGTGTTGCATGTCACCACTGTACCTTGGAGAAACTCCACTCCTTACCTCCTCCTGTTGATCCTGTTTGCTCCTGTCCGTTCCTCACTTGTGCATCCACTCAATGGTGCTGTGCTGTGTGTCAGGAGATAATGCAGATGTATTGCTGTTCTGATAGTATAATTTGTATTCAAGTATGCTGATGAAATAATGAAATCACCTAAGCAATTTCTGTTCATTATGGTGTTTATTAATTATATCAGATGAAATATAATCCCAGTAAAAACTAATTAATATTGTCAGTTGTGAAATGATGAGCATCAAGTAGAAAAGTGTTCAGAGAGCCTGCAATGGGCTACTTGGCATTCTAGATTTAGGAAGGAACCAGAAGTGCACTGCTGGCATTTCCTAATTCTGCTTTATTTTATATCTGACTARAGTTTACTGGTGCCATGCAGTGAGGGGAAGAAAAAAAGAGAAGAGATTCAAAGTGACTAGAAATGAAATTTTCAAATACTCTGTTCTTCCTATGTATACTCTGCAGAATACATTGTGCTTTTTTCAACACTTTTCTTTCCATGAGAAACACTGAAACAGCATGTTAATGCCTAAACTTTATTAGTACCAATGGGAAAACTGGCATTTTCCCCCATAGTATGAAAACATTACTTGTAAGGTAAATTGCTTATTTTATATTATATATCATAATTCAGCTATTCATAAGCTAAGATCACTGTTGTGTGTTAACACTGTTCAGAAGACCGACATGTCAAGTTTAGGTTTTAATAATTTCTTTTAAATATCAAGTTTCTAACGTCTTATTTATGCATAAATGAAATGTATTAGCTTGCTATTATTCCTTAATGATGCTATAAAGKTCACTGTTTAATATACATATAGTAACTACTATTCATTTTCTGATTAAATTTACTTAAACTTTAAAACCAAATAATTTTGCTACTATAAAGTCTTGCACTGGACAGATTCAAGATGCTAGCACCATATTTTGGCAGAAGAAAATCAGATACCATCAGAAGTGCTGACTTTAATATCAAAGATGGTATTTTTAAAATCAGCACTTAGCTTTGTCATTAAAGCAATGTTCTTTATATCTTGGATTTAGTTTAAAGTAATTGAAATAACTAGAGCCATTAAAGATCTCTCCTCTGAATGAATATATTTTCATTTTGTCTGAAGGATCTTAATGTTCAGTCAGGACAAAACCAAGCCTTGTTAGTAAAAAGTGATGTGTCTGTGAAAAGAATTACCTGGAACTACAATACACAGAGTAATTCAGATGAGAATTTTAACTCCCTCCCCCATTTTGAAGAGCTTTAAAAGGCAGAGCAATGTGAAGTCATTTGTGCAATGGTTTCATTAGCTGTGACTCTGCTGTTCTTTGTTATATGTATAATAATGTTTCACGCTACCCTTAGAGTTGACAGTTAAAACAGCTGATAACAATCATAAATACTTGGAACTTCAAACTTCATTTCTGATTACAAAAGAAGTTTATTCCTCTCTATTTTAATGCATATATTTTAACACCGCTTAAATATATTTATGACTTTAGTAGATACTAGACCTTTCTCCTTGTGACTTTTTTTCCAGATAGAAGAATCTGTATTCTAAAATTTGAACCACTTTCTGTTAGTTCAATCTTTCATCATTTGCTTTTCCACAGGTTTACTTTGGGGGTAACAGTAATCTGTTAAATAACTAGTATCAGCACCCTGTCCTCTGCTGTATAAAGCCTGATTAGATACTGTGTATGTTTTTATGTCCATGAACTTGAGCTACTCGTGTGCAATTATGTGTATGGGAATGGAGTAGTGTTCATGATCTGTATTTACATCATCATATGGATGTATATTTATTAATAAAGTTAATACTTTAAAACCTAACTTTTTACCCAGTTTCTTTTCTTTTTCATCTTTTAAATTTTGGCTGAAGATTCCCATTGACAGCATTACCTGCTTGTTACGGGCAAGTTACATATATTTGCATTAAGGCAAAAAGACTCTATGAGCATCATGGTATCAGGAAATAGAGGAATATTGCTTATTTTTTGATGAATTGAAAACAATGTGACAGTAACTTAATTGTTCTTGTCCTTTCACTCAAATAGGAGAGGAGGAAAGGAGTTATAGTAAACTGCTAACATTTTTCCTCTGTTGTACCTGGTAATCAATGGAATGGTGGTCATAATTCATTATTTTGTGATAAATGAAATATATTAATCCCTGTATTCCAGCAATATTCCAGTTTTTCTGTGTTGGTAKGGTGTGCTCTGTGCCACGCAACATTTTTTTTTCCCTATTTACTGAGGTTTTTCAGTACATTTGGGGAACAACAGGCAGTCCTACCTACCAGAGGCTGCAATCCAGATTCCCAGGCCTGCATCTTCCACTCRTTCTCCAGCAGCACCCTTTGTTTTCTTTTCCATTAACTTTCCAAGGCCTTCTATGCATCTGGAGTTGGAACATTACAAATGTCAGTTGCAGTTATTTAACAGACTTTTTAAATTTACCCAAAAAGGACATCTGATGCCTTGTTTGGGTGATTATTTTTTGGGTTTTTTTGCTTGGCCATTCTAATAATTTTAAATACTTGGCTTTCAAGGTGACTGGAGATGTTCAGAACAGAGTTCAACTGCAGTCTGCTGCATCCTGGTGTGAAAAACAGTCCCTGGATGTGATTGCATGAGCAATGTGGATTATTTTATTGGTTGTAAGGAAACCTTAATATTAAATATTACATCAGTCACWAATTGTATCAAATAAGAATACAGCCTTTTCAGCTATGTTGGAGGTTCCTTGACTGCTTCCATGGCTACTGTGTTCTTTGCCATGGAATGAATGGAAGGRTGGAAGCTGCAGGCAGTCTGTTCCCTCGAGGCACAGCTGGTGTGTGAGACCAGGTGTGGTTTCTGAAGACAGGACCAATTCAGGTTTTATTCATGCTGACAGTCCAGCAGTGTTGGGATATCAGCTACCAACTGGGTGTCTTCAAGGAGTCTTTAAAATAATTCTACCTTTTAATAATCTCGTTTATGTGTATGACAAGACACTAGGACTTGTTTAGGGACTAGATTGGCATTTTTATGCTTTTGGACCTCCTTGTTGTGAGCTCTTCAAGTAGCACATAGTATTAGTGATGTCATACCTGTTAAACATGGATTACTTACAGTCACTATAAAAATCCATACCATTTTGATTTGTATTACAGCAGGAAGGATTTTATGTTAGAATTAAATTAAGAGTAAAAAATTGATTTCAAGTTGAAAATGCTGCTTTGACTAAACTCAAACATAAGGACAACAGGGCAGCTAGTCTGCACTAGCTTGGATTCCCTTTGTGATTTTGCTTTCAGGCTTGCTYGGTATCAGCTGATCTAATTAAATATTTTCCCTCTATTTGCAAACGTCATGTTTTCTATTTTTAGACTATAATGTCCTCATTATTAGTGCTTATGCAAATTGGACTATGAAAGAAAAAGCTTCAAGTGAGAAAATAAATGCTGTAAAGGACAGAGTTGGAGAAGTATACCCGAGTAAAAATAAAGCCTAAAATCCAATTTCTGTAATAAACCTGACACCCATCTTCATTTATACACATATACTTGGGTTTTCCTGCCCTTTTCCAGTGTACATGSTTTATGTTTCCCAAGGTCATCACTATCAATTTTTGACACATTCAGATTTTTGGCAAAATCTCATTGCCAATGCTGCTGGCAGTTTTAAGGAAGCGTGTTTAAAGATACCAGCACTTAAAATATTGTGTTCATTTTGCAAATGCCCCAAATAGTTTGAGGCTTCTCTATTAAACTGAAATAAAATAAAAACTACTTCTATGACAGGAAGAATACTATTTCCTAAAAATAAATATGGGAGTATTTATCTTGCCTTTCTGCTTGGGACCTTTGGTTGGTAAGTTGCTGGACAAAAGGACACCTTTAGTTTGCCGTGTTTTACCCTTACCCTTAGCTTGCTGTGTATTAAGGCACAGTTTGTGGGAACAGCTCCCAAACAGGACCGTCCTTCCCTAACCAGGGTGGGAGAAGGCAAATCCCTCGTCAGGCAGCTGTGGCTGTGAGAAACCGCTGGTCACAGCAGCCCCTGAATCTACAACACTGCATTAGAACTGAACAGGCTTTGGGATGAGCTACAGGGTGCGTTTGTGTGCYCGCCGAAGCCATGGGATGGCACTTGCCTCGTCGCCAGAATTTTGGACCTGAACAGATTTAAATCAACAGTGAAACACCTCCAGCAGCACCAGCAGCCCGACACCTAGCCCGGGCAGCGGGTCCGATCACACCGTGCGGGCTCAGCCCTGCAAGGGTATGGTTCACAGAATCACTGGACGGTTTGGGTTGGAAGGAACCTTGAGCACATTGTTCCAGTTCCCTGCCATAGACAGGGGCACCTTCCACCATCCCAGGTTGCTCCAAACCCCGTCCGACCTGGCCTCGAGCACTTCTGGGGCAGCCACAGCTTCTCTGGGCAACCTGTGCCAGGGCCTCGTCACCCTCACAGAAAATTTTAGTACAGAATTTTTCCCTAATATCTAATCTAAACCATTCTCCCTTGTCCAGTCACTATATGCGCTTGCAAAGTTTTGTCCCACCCTTCCTGTAAATTCCCTTCAGGTACTGGGAGGCCGCAGTTAGGTCACCYGAAGCCTTCTCTTCTCCCGGCTGAACAATCCCAATTCAGGGCTCGTTGGAGCCGCGACAAAACCCGGTCAAACCCACCCGGTTTGTGTCTAACACGGGCGGGGCTGAGCCCCAATCCACACAATATCCACCCCGCCCCTTGGCCCGAGAGCTCCTCCCAGGGAAACACGAACAGCAGCGGAACTGGAAGTGTGCCGGGAYCCGGCGGAAGCGGTGGTTGTCCGGGGAGACGCGGCGGTGCCGCGGCCGGGCTGGGGATGAGGATGCGGCGGCTGCTGCTGGCGCTGGCCTGGCTCGGTGCAGCCCTTCCCGCAGGTGCGGCCGGGGGGCTCTGGGTGCGCGGTCGCGGGGCGGGCAGGGAGCGGGGCTGACCTTTCCCCTCTGTCGCCCTTTGTCCCCGCAGGGGCGGCTGCGGAGCGCGGTGCAGACAGYCCCGAGCCGGTGCGGTACCGCACGGCCGAGATGGCGGACGCGATGCTGGGCAGCGGATCCCCGGTCGAGCAGCCCGTGCTGCTGTCGGCGGTGCCGGCCGAGGCGAGCGGCGGCCCGGCGGGGGTTTGCGATGGGGCGGCCGCSGGCGATGCGTGCGGGAGCGGCCCCGCCGCCGCCCAGGCCCGGGAGCAGCCCCTGCTGGAGCCCGTGCTGCCCGCGCCCGCCGAGGAGCAGAACGGCACCGACAGCGCCAAGGCTCCCAAGGTSAACTGCGAGGAGAGGAACACGACGGGCATCGACCGCTTCACCCTGCAGATCCTCAACGTGTCCCAGGTACGCGGGTGGCCCGGTCACCGCCCGCTCTTGGAGTGAACGCGTGAGGGTGGCGGGTGATGCCCTCTCGGCCTCTTGCTTTCAGTGCTTGATTCGTGAATTTCCTTGTGTGACGTCCTCAGTTCTACCGCAGAAAAGACATGACTGGGCGAGGAGGCCTTTWGGGTCATTCTGAGCAGGGAAAGAATAGAGATAAGCTTGGTTCCCGTGCCTGTGTGTTATCTCTGTGCCTGCAGTGTMCTGCCAGCTTTCCTGCCCTGTGGACTGGTGTTTCTCTTGGATATCATTAATGGCAGTTAGGGCCAGCTCATTTCTTGTAAAGGTTATCTGTATGTATATTTTAAAGTAATAAACATTTAAAATAACCTTTAAGAAAGGTTATGTACAATTCTCCACCTGTTTTAAAAGGTGCACCTGCTTGATCAGTATTGCCAGGTATTGAATCAATTGCTGAATGCTGYATCCCTACAGAAAATTTAACTTGGTTAAATATGTAATWGTCTATGTTTGTTCTTGTKCTTTCTCCAAGGACCTGATGGAGTTCCTAAACCCAAACAGCAGTGACTGTACATTGGTCCTGTTCTACACACCGTGGTGCCGCTTTTCTGCCAGTCTGGCTCCTCATTTTAACTCTTTACCCCGAGCATTTCCAACTCTTCGCTTCCTGGCACTGGATGCATCCCAGCACAGCAGGTAACTCACACTCCCTGTGCTCTTCATGCAGTTTATTTCTGTTAGCTTTGAGTTTTAAAAAAAGGAGTAACTTTTTTATCCACATAAAAMGGCAATTTAATTTAGTGAAACTGACACTTTCTGTGTCTTGGTTGTCTTTATTTTTTTTCTATAGAAGATTTCATTTCCTTCATGCTTTGTATTTGCTTTATGTCCCCCAGTTTATCAACTAGATTTGGAACTGTGGCTGTACCAAATATCCTCCTTTTCCAAGGTGCTAAACCTATGGCTAGATTTAATCATACAGACAGAACACTGGAAACCCTGAAAGACTTCATCTTTAACCAAACAGGTGTGTAAATCAGCCCTGGTCTGTCAGTGGGAAGAACAGGCTGGCTCTAAGCTCCAAATGAGGCTTTCCTGTCCCTGTGTATGTACTTTAAAATGAATATGATAAAGACCCAGCAGTGGTTCATGTAATCAGGTGTTGCCATGAGCTGGATTTCAGCCAATGATGAGAGCAGACACTCAGCTTCCTGGGCTGCTATCACAGAGCAGGGGGACCATTGGGGTTTAGCTAGAGAGCTTGTCAGAAGGATGGAGCACATCTTTCTGCCCAAAGATTTAATTGAGAATGAAATAAATTTAACTCTTTTTGCCAGCCAGCTATCTCTCTTCTAATGCAAACTGAAGTGCTGTGCAGATTTACGTTTCCAGAAATGCTCAAAAATGAAATTCCTGAAAAAACCACTCAAAATTACATTTCTGTGCACTGAAAATGCCCCACAAACTTATCCAAGGCTGTGCTGTGGGAGGACAGAACAAGCCTTCTCCTGTTATGAAAATACACATAAAAATTACTAAATTTTTATATAAGCAAACCATTTTCTTGGTAGATGTTACTGTACAAGGACCATCTCACGAAAATTTTAAGTCTGCCTGTGCATGAGCCTTTAGTCTGCCTGTGCATGAGCCATGAACAAAGCTCCAGACAGAACCAGCTTCTCTGTATTTTGTGATTATGATGTTGATCAAGTGTTTCGTTTTTTAGGGATAGAAGCTAAAAGCGATGTGGCAGTGACAGAGGAGGACTGGGAAGGGCCCCTGCCAAGTGTTCTGACGAAGGGCATAGACTGGCTGCTCCTGTTCTCCRTGCTCTTCCTGGCCAGCTTTGTCATGTACGCCACCATTCGCACCGAGAGCATCCGTTGGCTCATCCCAGGACAAGAGCATGAACATCAGGAATAATCTCAGCTACTGCAACAGGGACAACATTTTCCACTTATTGGTAAAGTGGGAATTTCTATGGACTAGAAGTACCCAGGAATGAACTGTTSAATTTGTTGGTTGTAATTTATAATAATGACTAAAAATTGGCTTTATTTATCAGCTGCTGAATCTGTAACAAGCACATTTGTGGCGATTACAGTGGTAAGTGAACAAATATGAAAAAACATGAACTAAACTATTTATTAAGCTGCTCTGATTGAGTTATTTCTAGTGGATTTTAATGTAATTAGTGGTACAGTTCTAATTTGCTCTTCTGAAGAGCTCCCTGAGCTTTGTAGATCAGGGAAGAYTTTTACAGCACATTGGTCTGTGTGTGGCACTGCACACAGTGAAGGGAGGTGTTGGTGCATTACTTTGACTGTTGGTAAAATGAACTACGAAAATGTTTTAAATGATTTTTCACTCCCATGGAGGTGTCTGTTCCCACCTCTGGCACTGGGGTTCAGTGCTGGTTTTCTCATTCACTTTGCTCTGAGTTTTGACTTACTGGCAGTTCTTGATGAGATGTAGAGTCACTTCTCAAGTTCACCTCACTATTTCTGTGTGTGTATACAACTTATTTACCACATTCCTGTTGGATGAAATTGTGCTCATTGTCCTTTTTAAAAAATAAATCAGGTTTTTAGTGTAACCTTTTAAGTTGCTTTCTTTCAGAAGTTAAAACGTGCACAGCCCACATGCCTAAATTAGCAAGACCAGTCTTGATGTTTATTTAAATTTCTACTACCATGTTTGCTRGTTCCACACTCTCCACTTGAGGCTACATAAAGAATTGATGGAGTTTTTAGTTATGATTAGTRTGGAAGGCTTTGGATAAGGTATGGACTGGTATGTTGTGTGGGGTTTGGAATATTAGATTGCATAGCATTTATCATGCTGGAGGCTTGGCAGAGTACCCTGATAGGGAGCTTTAGAGGGCAAATTAAGCTAAGATGAAACAAAGACAGTCTTAAAACTTTGTTTGACAGAGAGCTTATATCCCTGCAACGTAATTCTTCCAGTATTTCTCTGCTGGCTCTATCTCTCTGGAAACCAGCGGTCCTGTACATCTGTGTCCAAAAAGGAAACTGCACTGGTAAAACTTTGGTGTGACTGAAGATAAAGCTAGGATGGGTGTTATTAATAAAGATTGTGAGCAATGAATTGAAGCACTCTTGCTTCTGCCATCTGGTTCGTTTGAGAGGACTGGACTGAATTGTCCCCGGTGCTTATCTCTGCACTGCTAAAGAAACCAGGATGTGTTTACAACCGGAACGGGGCTGTTTCAGCGTGGTCCCTTGGGCTGGAAATGAAACCTGCCTGCTCACAGCGTGACAGAATCCACCCATGGCCACAGCCAGAAGCTCCGTTTGGCCGTTCTCCTCCTGGGCAGGTGTCACAGATCATGGAATCATCAAGGATAGAARAGATCTTTTAGTCCAGTCCAACCCTCCACCCAGCACCGCCACTGTAACCCCTGAACCACATCACCCAGCTCTAGATAAGGGCGCTTCTTAAACACCTCCAGGGATGGCAGCTCCATCACCTCCCTGAGCAGCCTGGTCCAACGCCCGACCACCCTGACAGTGAAAACGTCTTTCCTAATGTCTGATCTGCCCCAATCTCAGCTTYAGGCCARTTCTSGTCCTCKCACTGCAGGCACGGCAGAAGAGCTTGGTTCCGCCCCCACTATGACCCATTTGCAGGGAGCTGCACAAGGCGATGCGGTGCCGGAGCCTCCTCCGATGGCCGCTCTGCCGGTACCACCGGTACGGAGTCGCGGCGGATGCAGCTCCCCTTCCTCCCTCCCGGCGCGGCCGTGGCTCCCGTTCCCGTTCCCGTTCCCGTTCGGTTCCTCCGCGGGCTCCTCCCGCGGGGCGCGGCGGGGGCGGGCCCGGGCTCGGGGGGCCATGCCGGGCGGCGGGGCCGGGCTGCGGCGGGCGCTGCTGGGAGCGTGGCGGGCGGCGGGAGGCGCCGGGAGCCCCGCGGCCATGGTGAGGCTGAGGGGAGCCGAACCCCAACCCCAACCCAAACCCGGGCCGGGCCGGGGCGCGGGGCGGAGGGGCCCACACGGACAGGCCCAGGGCTCCGGKCAGTGCCCGGCCCTGCTCCCTCCCTACTGGGGAAACGGGGATTGCTCAGCCYGGGAAAGCTACGGGGAGACCTGGTTTGCACCTTTCAGTACGAGAAAGGGCTACGGGAGAGCCGGAGAGGATTCTGGACAAGGGAATGGAGAGAARGGATAAGGGGGAAAGGATTCACAGTGATAGAGGGTTAGATGGGATATCGGGAAGAGATTCCTCCCCATGGGAGTGGTGAGGCCCTGACACAGGCTGACCAGAGAATCTGTGGATGCCGTATCCCTGGAAATACACATCCAGGGTGGATGGGGCTTGGAGCAACCTGGTCTAGTGGAAGATGTCCCTGCCCACGGCAGARGGTGGAACAAAATGGGCTTTAAGGTTCCTTCCAACTCAAATCATTCTAAGATTCTCCCTGTGTCCCGCCACCATCCCACCTCATGGCTGATTATTTTATTTTACACAAAACTAATTACAGCACGTGCAGGGTTCACCCCTCAGGCATGAGAGCTCTATATTTTTTTTTTTTTAGTTAACGATTGTTTTCCCTGAGCTTCTTCCTCCAAACAAACAGTGGGTCAAACCCACCACCTGACAGCCCCTGAGTGTGGGTCAGCTGCCAACACCTCGGGTGCTTGGTCAGAATGGGCACCCGGTGCCCATTCCTGTTTCCCTGGGGGTCTGGCCATGCCCGTGATGTGCTGCTGGGGCGTGTGAGCATGGAAACAAAGTCAGAATCTCCCGCTTTATCTTTTTCATTGCACAAGCTGCTTTCTGCAGCATATCTGAACATCACAATTTGTCAAGGGACTGATTCATGGCGTGGCCTCCACTGTGCAAAATGTCAGGGCCTCAGACCTGGCATCAAGCCTGGTCTCCACGTTCCTTTTAAAAACTGTGATCGAGTTTCAAGTCACAGCATTGTTTTGTCAGTGKCCCTGTGTCAGGTGAGGTGTGAGGAAGGCACCGCAGTGTCCCCAAAGCTGGCACAGGGCATCTCTGCCAGCTAGAGGAGTGGACTTTGTGCTGCCTCTTGGTTGCAGTCCTGGACTTTGTTTTCTCAAAAAAAAACCACCCACCCCCATGATTTTTTGTACATTAGCAGACGAAYTTAATCTTGTGCCAGATAAAATAGTACATTTCCTATGTATATTTCAAGACAACTTTTAAATTTGGTGATTTTTATATATGCTTGGGAGAAAAAAGAAGAATGTAAGAAATTCATGCCTGACTGCATAAAAAATCTCTTGCAGCRACGACAGATCTGAAATTTGTGTTCTTGCAAGCCCAAAGTTGTGTTTTTAAGTGTAAAGAGACTGCATTAGTTCAATTTGGGACCTGTAAACCCCATTTCTTGTTACATCTCTGTATCCCCCTGAAGACAAAAAGCAGCAGTGATGCTGTTAGATTGATTTACCCCGCTTGGGGGTTTTTATCCTATGTTATTGATGAAAATGTTGCTCCTTGGCCCTCCCGTATCTCAGAGCCTTGCTCAGGTCGCATTAATTGCGTTAATTCCTGCTCTGCTCAGCCTCACAGCCCCATCTGGTGGCAYTGGGGCTCCCGCTGGAGCACCGGCTGGTGAAAGGTGAAAAATCCTGAGCTGCAGAGCTGGCGACGGGTCCCCACTGWCCTCCCATGTCCGAGTGAACCTCCGGAGCAAAACTGCCTTTCTAGAGGTTCTCACAAAGCTGTGCCAGCTGCTGAAATAAAGACTAAAACAATCTGAATGTAGCTGTACTGGGGAGGATTCTTTCCGCTAAAGCATTGCATTTGTAATGAGTCTGAGACGCATCTCGCAGAATGTATCATCCGAGGAAGAGCTCATGCTCTCAGTGCCTGCTTTTAGAAGAGGTGTCAAACCTCTTCCAAAGGCCCCACGTTCCTCCGTGTCTGACTCGGGCCTGGTGTGTGATTCAGCCCCTGATTCAGGTATTTAAGCAGTGTTARTCTGTTGTATCTGTGGTCCCAGTGGCATCTGGAGAGCTCCTGCCACTTCATGTGAGCCATATTTAAACACTGTTGTTTTGCAGAATCTAGTGCTTATACCAGTAACTTCAAACTTTTTGTAATTGTGTCTGAATTGTCTTTTCTTTTAATTTAGTTGTAAAGCTCTTTGTTCTTTGTAGAACTCCACAGCATCTGCTGTCTTTAAATCCATTCCTGSTTTCTCAAAATAGTAAAATACAAACCAGGTAGAATGCAATCTCCTGTTTTGCTTCTCTCTTTTGGAATAGGCATTTCCTGATAACCTCTTTTAGCCTTACAATTGTACATTTAGCAAATAATGTAAATTATCTTTTACTTACCAGACAGAGTGGAACATTTGCAAATTAAAKGTGGTGTTACAGCATCTGGATTATTCAGATGACCAAGGGTACAGGTATGCTGGTGCCCATTCCTAGGAAAGAACCTGTTGCTTTTCACTAGTTTTGTACAAAAAGCACTTGGCCAAACTTACCTGCCCAAWCAGAAATGGCAGTGTTTGGCTGGTTTAGGTTAAACTGGTCTGTGAAATTAKAAGCAGTAAGAAACTGCACAGTGAATTTTCCACATCCTTACCTTTGCACAATACATAACCACAATTTCATCATGTGGTTTTCTTACTCATGTACAAAAGAGAACCTCAGCCTTACTCGTGCCATGCTTTTATTTTTTTTTCCCTTCAATAGTCCTCCCAGTCTCACTGGTTGACGACAGAGGAAAGGAACCAAGTTTTACTGGATCTCAAAGCTTCAGGCTGGACTGAGCTGGGAGAAAGAGATGCCATCTACAAGRAGTTCAATTTCAAAAATTTTAATCAGGTAATGATTGTTATATGCCACTTTTAATATAAAGGAAATATAATTGCTTTGATTTCCATACAGTCCTGATGGGAAAATATTTRTATTCAGAAGTTTGGGAGTATCCTGGTGGGGCCAAATCCTCTTGGATTTGCCCTGATGAATTGCTCTCAGATTCTGATCTCATTAGGTGGAGTAAATTAATTCAATTTTGTAGTTGATAAGTAGATTTGTTCTAATATTACAATTTCTTGATTATAATATTCAGGTCAGGGTCAAATTTAGTGTTGTGGATTTTGACAAAGCAGTATTTGATCCTGTTTGTTTTTTCATTATTAACACTCGCAAATAAATGTTGGAAATACATGACTGATGGGCAGTGGGGATCATTTTTGTCAGGGAAGTACATGAGAAAAATGGGAAAATAGAAGAACATAAACTTTTGGCAAGTAAGGTGGGGAAAATAGGACATGTTTCACCTTCTAAGCAGGAAGACAGAGTTTGGATGCATCCCTGAATGAGTTGTCATAGCTGATGTTGCAGKGTCTTTGGCCCACAGAGTGCTGGCTTTCATTTAGCACACTGGGTTTTTGTTTGGAGACAGGATCCTGAGCTACGGTTCACACTCACAAGTACTTGTCTTGGACATCMGTTACAAACTTTCTTAGAAATACTGAGTTTGTCTTGAGATCCGTGTTCAGCTGCATTCCCCTGAAAATTCCCTTCTGAGGAATCATTGCATTGCTTAGAAAAAGTCACGTTCCCAGAGCATGCATTTCCCTTCTGTTTTATTTCTGAGGGAGGGGTGAATGCTTTCTCGGGAGGGAGAGAACTCCCAGGAGTTTGTTGGGATGATGGATCTCCATGACCCCATTCTTTCCTTCACTTCAGAGGGACACAGCAAGCTCCAGCTTGGGGATGTTGTGGCTTTGCTGGTGTGTGTAGGGACCAGGAGCTGTGCTGTGAGCTGTTTATTTACATGGCTGTGCCTGAACCCAGAACAAGATGTTTTAGGAAACCACAGTGAGCTGGATAAACAACARTTTGTAACGCTGGCTCCTTTCTTCGCTGTTTCAGTCAGTAGTTGTCACAGTGAGGAAAGYCCAGGCAGTAGAGAGAAGGTGGGTGAGGTGATCCCAGCCCCTCTGAGCTGGGTGAAAGCAAAATTAAAAATAACTGCAGGAAAATCCAGCCTGTGAGCAGGACAGYGCTGATCCAGGGAGTACATCCAGAACCCTGAGTACATTTTTAACCTGAATGTTAATACAAAGCAAATAGAACAAAATTACTTCATTCAGAGGGTAGTGAGGGTGGGGAAGCCCATGAGAGGGAGCTCACAGGAAGCCTTGGTGAGATGTGCAGGCATCTTGGGCCTGGAGCATCCAGGAACAAAGCATGTTTGACACCGGTGGGATAGAAGTGACCCTTGGAAGAGTTCAGATTTCCTGCCTTTGTACTTTGAATATTCATGAAATGGCATCTCTGCCTGGTTATGGTCAAAGTCTTTGTTGGTTCAGCACAACTAAAAATGAAGTTGCCCCTAAARTTAATTAAAAAGTGGTTTTGCCTGCTGTATATGAGTAAATCAGTTTGATCAGATGGATTTAGACAGTCCTGTCTGCCAACAGACAGGTGAGGAGACAAATCAGTGTCCTGCACCAGCAGATATCTGGAAAACCCATTGCTCTGACAAAAATTTACAAAGCTGTATTTTTTTTTGACAGTGTAGATTTATCTTACTGTATAGGTAGACATCCATATGTCTTCCTAATTTGAAGATGGATGGAACACATGCCAGTATAGAAATTTGAGTATATTTAAATAAGCTTACTGGTAAATAACAAACGTTTGTACTTCTAGCACAAGTAATCATAGGAAGAGTACTTAAAAAAATGCCCCTTKAATTGTTTGGGAGATAATAGAACAATGTCTTTCATTCTTAGCAGCCTTTCATGGATGTAAGAAATGAGAGCAGAGTCTGGGAATTGGCTTCGAAGGGGAACTTTCTGCCCCCAGTTGGGAGAAAAAGGCATTTAACTGTGGTTGGCTCAAGGTTAGATGTGAATATCTAAAGGCAGAGTTTCACCTGTTGATTTTTATGGATTTGTTGCAGTGTCCCCTTTGGTGTTGCAGAGGGCAGAAATCATTCCTGTTCCTGTAGTCCAGGAGCAGGCTCAACTTGCAGATCCCAAGGGCATTAGGTCCTGAGGTGATATTAGAGAGCAGGTATTTGCCTTTTGATAAGTTGAAACTGAAAATAAATTAAAATTATGCATGTATGCTTAATTGTATTAAATTATACACATGTGCTTCTATTTATAATAACTATTAGTAAATACTGTGTTTACTACAACCTAGGAAACAAATGACAAAAGCAGAGCTATACCTGCCTTGTACTTTGGGAGAATTTAAACATGCAGTGAAAAAATGGAACTTGTAGGTACAAATTCTTTCATTTCATGTAATAAATATTCTATTTACAGAATTTAAAGTRTTTAGTACAAGTCAAAGAACTGAGAAATGTCATTTCCTCAGTGATCTTCCTGCTGCCCTTTTACAGATGGTGTAAAATCAGGTGTGGAAAAAAAGTTACCCCAAAAAATACAAAAAACTGTAGTTGAGCTGACATGAAAGGTATTTCAAATTTATGTTTTGCAGATGATATTGGTATGATTAATGCATTCATTTCTTTTTTTTTTTTTATTACTTCTTGCAGATAATGTTCATGATGCATGGAAAATTCTGTGGCTTCAAAATCTATGCCAGGTTTACAAAGTCTGTATATGTCAACAGATGTTAAAAATATAAACACAACTTTTATTATAAAGYTGAGCAAATGTGTAGACATGAGCTTGGTTTATGTGTATTATTTTCAGCATGAGAATGAAATGAAACTTCTGTGAAACAAGASTTATTTAGATTCCTGAAGCTTTCAGGCTGAGATTAGTTCTGTTAAAAGCGATCAGCAGTGAGCTGCCTTTGTAAGGCTGACAAGCTAATGACACTTCTGGCTCAGGGAATTAGTTTGTAACCCAGAATTTGAAAGCACTGATGGTCTTTGTTAGTCTGAAGATACATTTTCATGAAAATGGGCTTTGGTGGTACAATTCTCTAAAATAATCTGGAAACCAGCCTGGGGTTCCTGCTGGAGGCCCTTTGTTGGTTTTGTTGCTGTGGGTGCTCACCAAGCACCAGTTGTGGGGGACTGGACAGCATTGGCTGGATATTGGCATGATCATTGGTGTGAGGCAGGCTCCAAGTGGGTGGGTGTTCTGCATCTTGTATAAAATAAAATACACCAGTGTTGGGGGGGAAAACACAAACACAATYCAGCTCTAGAGGAGACTGCTGTGTCCAGAAGAGCTGTGCTGATGGCACCAATGCATCTGTTCCTCCTCATGCCTTGAAACTGCCCTGAGCTATTGCCACTGTGGAGTGGCAGTGGTAGGCACTGATGAGTTAAAATTGGAATCTTTTACCTCCAGGACCCTCACTGGGGTGCACTCACTCAAGAGACCATGGGTTGGGTCTTTTTTCCCAAGGAACATGTGCTTGGCAGAAATCTCTGGCTGTGAGCRAGGTCTTGGAGAGGAAGTGGGCTTGGAGCACTCCATGGCAAGTCCCCATCCCTGCTATGTGTCTGGGGGCTCGTGAGCCAGTGTAAACCTCACAGCCACATCAGGGAGTTTCTCTGGGGCCTCTCTCCCAGGCTGCAGGGCAGAGAAAGTGGCTGGTGAGGTTTTCAGGCTATGGTGTAGCGTCACAAAGGGATGCTCTTGTCTGTTCGTGTCTTTGTGCTACTGAAACAAAAAGGTTTTCTTCCAGTGGAGCAAGTCTTCTGCTTTCAGTCTGCTCAAACAAAATTGGGCATTGGGATAGAAACTTAATTTATACTTCCAGATCATGCTGGTAACTTCTCCCAGCATTCCAGGTCAGTTCACCTTGGGAACAGTAATCTGGAAAAGGGGACAGACCTGGTTTAAAGATGTGAATTTCTCCCAGTTTAATCTCAAGCCTGGTCCTGGGCCGGGCAGGTGGCTGCAAAGGGCTGTGAGTATGGCATGCCAAGTGCTCCATTTGGGTCCTKTATCCAGCTGCTCACTTCACCAAATTTGCAAGAACATCTTAGCTCTGAGACTTCATGTCTCTTGTCAAACTTGGTTGGATTTGACCAGAGGGTTTAAGGGGCAACTGCCTGTGTGATTGCGTTTCCGTAGGTAATCACACCGAGGCAGCAAATGCAGTTAGGAAATTACAAAGGTGGGCAAGTTTGCTGATGGTCAGGTTCAGCATTTACAGCTGCTTTCTTTTATAGGGTAAGTTTTTAATTAAGTTTGTTTTTTTTTAAAAAAATTCATGTCGGAAGTCTCCATAAGACCTCTAACGTCATTTTCTAAAATGACAGGAAATCAAATGCTTTAAGAGTTTTAAAGCTATTTCAGATACATTTTGTCTTTTTGGGCAAGAGGATGGAGGTGGAAGATGAGTCTGAGTGGAGGGGACGGTACGGAAATGGTGTGCACTGAGAATARAGGCACATGTGTTTCAGTGCAATTGTGGAGTCTTGGGGTTAGAAAACGTATTTAAAGATGTGCAAGAAATCAAGAAGTATGAAATAAATTAYTATTCTCACTTTGCATTTCCTTTCCAGATTTGCTATCTCTCTTGCCTGGAAAATGGGAGAAAAAAATCATACAGAGCACGTTATGGTACATGCCTTTTTTTACTCCCTCCTAGTGATGCCAGTGTTTTTTCCTTTGGCTGTAGGGAGATGTGCTCAGATTTGTCCCTTTATATTGATCATGCTCGTTGTATGATCCTAATTACACATCCAAACGAATTTGGTAGGAAAGGCAATGCATACTCTTGATTTCTTTYGATGGCAGTACTTAGTGCCCATCCCTGCAATATAATCTGGGTCCATCCTTCCTTTTTCTACTGTTGCTTTGTTTTCTACATTCATCAAAGGTTGGAAAATTTGGTTTTATTCTTACATGCAGTGTATTTCATTGCCGCTTTAT